GAGCGGAACGAGGTAATTAATTTGGCAGGTACAAAGTGAAGGTGGATGTGTGTTTTTGTGTGTGAAGGGTCGTTTTTATTTCGTGGTCAGGCTCCGTGGTTTAGGAGAGAGACGTGAGCCAGTTTTGAACGGACCAGTCGATGCTCGGCACGGAATCTTGAACGGGGGGAACGTGGGGCGCGACCCCAGGGTCTGCGTTCTGAGAAAACGCCGCGAAGACTCTTACAAATACGGCGTCGCGTATAAATGAAGCTTTTGTTTGCAATCTGCCACAAATCTTAGACCCAACCCATCATTGAAACGTGGCACTCGCCGCAGTCACGGAAAGCCGAGTGCACAACGACCAGGTCAAGCAATTTCACCAAATGTCATCGGTTTGCACAAAACTGTTGTGTTTATCAAATGAGAACGCGTTCGCTGACCTACCTTTTGTGTTTTTGCTATTGAGTTCGGCTTGTGCAGCGATTTGTCTGCGTTGGGCTGCAACGTGACGCTTGCAAGTATTTATTATTCAGGAGGCAGTGGCTTGATCGTGTTGGTGGCCCAGTTTTGTTGGTGCCAGCGCTATTTTCGGAGATGAAGACAGAATTATAAATTAAGGAGAGGGGAGTGCGATGGAAAGAGCCGCCTGGCGAGAAACGGCAAGGGAGGGGAGGCTGAAGAAGAGGAATAACACCGCACGGTGCCCGCTGAATTCTAACACTTTGAACGCACTCCACCCTGTGCACTCGCTACTTCACACACAACACAACACGGTGGACCATAGCTACTGGAACCTCTCCCCTTAGACGGCACATGTTGCACACCATGCCTTGGTTGTAACTATCAGCACAACGTGCTACTGTTGAAGCAGTAATAAATTGGTACGTTTGTTCACGTTACCACTTTATTCATTGGCTGTGTCAGGTGGAGGAGGGTCTATAACACACATTTTATTTACGCGATCTGACCCAAACAATCTATTATGAATCATAATGTTGAGCGCGAAAGCCTGCTGCTCGTACCCTTCGCACAGATTGAAGGATGCAGCATCTGCTTGCGCGCTACACCCCACTTGGCACACTGCGCCGTTTACATGCATGCAGAACAAAGACAAAGATCCCCGGTATAGCCTTAACAGACGGTTGGGGCAAGTGCTGTTCGCGAGGACCTACGAAGGCCGGCACGGTACACGAGGGTGTGGGTGGCCAGCACCACCCCCGGCCGCCTGTCTCTCCCTAGTGGTGATGTTTACACACCGCACCAGGTACTGATTTGAGGCTGAGTCGACCTAGGGGAGACCCAGTACCACTTCAGATAATTGCCACTGGTGTTAGTGGCCGTGAGCAGGAATCGAACTCGGGTCACCGAGTTCGTAGTGCAGCGCACGAACCACTACACTACCACTCCCCACCTACACGAATGCGCCCATTGTGTCATGTACATTGCACTTTGAAACGTGCCCTCTATTCTGAAGCCTCCCAGTCGTCTCCACGTTAATGAGTGATACCCGAGGCACACAGTGCAACTAGCTCCACGCCAAATAGCGGCTTGCGCATTTGGCCGGTCCTACTTGCTGGGACCGCGCAGCGCAGCGTTTCAAAAAGGTAGACAATTAGTGTTTTGAATTTAAATAGAATCTGCATTCAGCGGTGCCTGAAGGTGATCGCGGTGTACACTTCTGTGTTTCCGTTTCAATCGGCAGTGCTGAAGGCACCCGCGTGTGCGCTGCCAGATGGGGTGGAGTGGAAGCAGCCGCCCTCCAACCGTGCGTGGTGGTGATGAGAATTCTCGCTCCGCACGGCCACGGCGCCCAGCGTTCATTATCTGCACGAGCACAATTCGCGAGTTGCATATCCGCGCATTGTCCTCGCGTTTGACGATGAAAATTAGTTTGGGTCTATCTGCGGCGACGTGCCACCTACAGAGACCACGCGGAGAGCACTGCCATTCATCGTGCTCATTCAGAGTCACGTTTCACAAAGGAATTTTAAACAGGCTTTTGTATGGATAAGGAAACGTTATAAATGAGTTAATTTGGCACACTGAAGCGTTAGCGGTGGCGTGTCCGCGGAGGGCATTGAAATGGCAGGTTTGACCTCTGCGTTTGCCAGGTTATCCGTGACCTGCACTGTTGCCATTTAACACGACTTGCCTATTGACCAAGGCGACTGCTCCCACCTCGTCCCCCACCCCACCGCAGCCTGTGGATCAGCGTGCCCCCGGCACCTCATCTTTAACCGTAATGACGATGTTATCCATCACATCGGGCCCCTTCCCAAGCAGCCAGATATTCCGTGCGGGATTAGCCACATGCATACTTCCCGGAGGCTATGGTGCAGTTATTTAGGGGCATAGTGATTTTAGTTTTTAGATTTTTTTGCATTTTTTCCAGAAATATTTTGTCGAGTGATTATATTTGGTGCAATCACTCTAGTATCCAGATACCCTCGTGACTCCCCCAGTGATTGCAGAATGCAGTGACACTGGGCTGATTGTCATTCAATTGATGCAATTCGTCTATTCAAATTTTGTAATTCCGCAGTGTCATTTAAAAATATATGGAGTTTAGGCTGTTGCAATGGCATGCAGTGGCCTACTCTCGAAAATAATGGCGCGGAGTCTTTGTCATCGACTTCAATAACGTACTGCATGCTTTGGCAGTTACCAGTTAGAAATTACTGATCAGCAGCAGGCCTCGCACCACATACTCCATTGAAACTGGCTCTGTGGCACGTGCCTGTAGGATAGACGGCCTCTGTGACACTTGTAAATCTTAGCAGATTGCGATAAGGACCCCCCCGGGGTAGGTGCGGCATCGTGATCTTTAAAGCATTCTTGGCAATGAAAGCACTATGACTACCATTGACCGATTTCACAGCTATTGGCGGCCATCGCTTCGTGACGCCCTGCTTGAGAGTAGCCATGTGACGAGTTCATCGCCACCGTGATTGGATGAATTGTCATGACTGGGGGGTGGGGGGGGGGGCCATGGTCACATGGGAATTTTTAAAATTTCCAAACGATTATCTTTTTTCGTTTTGTTTTGACCGTCTCCTTTATATTGTTTGTCTAATATGTTCTGTCTGGTTCTGTCTTGTTCGCTTCAATAAATAGCCCAGGTGTAACATTTTCTTATCGTTTTCATAAAATTTTGCGTAAAAGTGTATGCAGTTCTTGCACACAATTACGCGCATGTACCATGAGTGTGAGCATTTCTTGCTCTTTATGAATCTATACGCCCCGACTGACCAGCGTTGAACTTGTGTGTTCAACTGCTCTATAGAGCAGCCATCCCACTCATTATTTGGAGGCTGTATTAAAAACTAGCTTTACCCCCCCACCCAATGGTTGCATTTGAATGAACATACCTGCACATAAAATATCCATAAATAAATTGTTTCTGCTCCAGTGGTTCTGCACCCTCCGGTTGATTAAAATGAATGCAAAAAAGTTATTTTTATTGAACAGGAAAAACCGTCTTGGCCAACAGCAGAGAGATGTACGGTCGACTACGATAATTTAATTTCATGCTAGATTTAGCACTAGTTTAGCCTTTATTTTCATTTTCATGCGTTTTATTCACATGGTAAATTGACTTTTTTTGTAGTACCACATGCATATATATATGCTATTATGACGTGAAGTGGAACGGCTTTAAATCATAATATTGGTGTGGAATGCTAATCGGCCGATGGACTAAAACATTATTTGTATTTATATATCAAGGGAAAGAGTGTAGCTCTGCTTATATTTTCTTTTACCAATGATGCTTCACATCAACACATAACGAGTTTGTGTCAGGTTGAAAAAGAAAATCATCTTATTAAACATGGGAATGCTGTTAGTGCTACGCGTACAATTTTCACTGCATTAATTTTCGGCTAAGAGGTGCCGTTTGAAGTGTTAGAACGGGAATTAATTATTTCCTTGTGACTGTACATTTCCATAAAGGAAGCACGTGTTCATCCCCGCGAGTCCATACAACACAGAGAGTCTCGCATGATTTCAAACGAAATGTATCCTCACGCATGTTTACAAATCTACTCATTCAACAGGAGTGCAGATAAAATAACTTGCTCTGCCATAATTAGGGTGATTCCCGTCAATGCAACAAGCCTTTGTATTTAATCAATACTAATTTCAAACTATTCCTTTTTCGCCAATACGGCCTTGAGCTGCCCCATCTACCTGTTAGGCGAGGGGAAAAGGGAAAATCGAACACGGGGATTTGTTTTTGTGCCAGGATTGCCGACGCCGCGTGTAAAGTACATGGGGTCAATGTGCTCGCACGGCTGGAGGGAGCTCTTTCACAGCCACCGTAGAAATGTGGTAAAGTAGCCCAAGTCGTGTTCATTATTGGCCCAAGTCATTAGGTTTTGAGCTTCACTGCCCCCATGCTGTTCGCTGCTGTCGCAGGTTCACTGGGCTGGATAGCATCACCTGCTGATATAACAGCCTGGACTGTATGTACGTTGAAATATATGTATGTTGAACTGGACGCCACGGTGATGAAATGTTAACTCGCTGTTCGATCCCTACCCTGACGCCTGTATATTTGGAGTTTGCATGTCTCTCTCCCTGTAGTCGCGTGGACTTTTCTGCAGGTCCTGCGGTTTTTCCTTCCACATTTAGAAGCATGTATTTGGAGTCATATTCTTGGTCCTTTCGGTAAAGTCACGTAGAAGGGAAATAATAAAAATAAACCAATTAAATTCTCACGACGTTTCCATTGCAACACTAGCAATCATCATCAGGTGTGAAAATCACAGCAAAGAACCAAGAATATGAATCCCTGCAGTTACGAAAACTTTAAATCGAAATGTATTTGAGTATTTGGCTGCTATACATTTCCACTTGATAAGCCATTTCGTTGAGCTTTCATTTGTGACCAGGTCGCTTCTGATAAAGAGCAATATAGCTTACCTGGTAAAAAAAAAAAAATGTTTTAGTTTTTACAGCTTTTTTCGTACCATACGTCACCGACCGTGTTAATTGGAGGTGTGCTCCGATGGTCGCAGGTTCAGCAGCACAGGGTCCGACCTCGTCAGCAGAACCTGCGGTGCCGATGGCCGCCCTCGCCTGTCCGTCACCCTTTCCGACACCACGGACACGGAATCCGACAACTCCAGCTCGGATGAGGGCAGCTCCGGCTCCAAGTGCACCAGGCGCCGTGTCCCGGGCTGTGGAGCCCTCCTCTTCCAGCCGCTGCTCGCAGACAACCTTGGCAGCCCGCTCGGGCGGTGGAAGGCCGACCTCACCAACGCTGTGTCGGAGTTCCAGGCCTCGGAGGCGAGCGTGACAACGGCCGACACCCTGGAGAGCATCTCCGAGGCAGAGGAGGCCGCCACTAGCACCAACGCGAGGGCGCGCACGCGGGGAGACCAAGGGCCTGCGACTCCTGGAGGTCATGACGGAGCCACGAGTCACGAAGAGGGGAAGGCATTGGGGACCTTGGGATGGCACAAAAGTAGTGGAGTTGTGGCAGGGGTGGTATTCCACCGAGATGCCACAGGTCACGAGGAAGAGCGAAGCAATAAGGAGGTTGGAAGTTCAGAAGGCGGCGTGAGCGGTGAAGTTGCTCCCAGCATCGAGACAAGAAGAGGAGGCCAGCCGCAGTGTAGTGACGAGGTTAGTGGGGTCATGCCGTCCGAAGGCAGGCAGCACCTGGACTCCGACGCACCGATGCTCCTGGATTCCGCGGAGACTTCACCTGAGCTGCAACCTTTAACCTCGCATAATCGCAGCAGCGGGCGAGGGGCAGCTGCCAGCATCGGTTCTCGAGCGGGAGCAGCGGGGGTCTCGCGCCTCGCTCTGCCCAAGCGAGCGCCCGTCTCTCCCTACGCAGACCAAGGCGAGGACCAGGCACACTTTGTGAGTGCGGCGAGCGAGTCTGACTCCAGCTTCCCCTCGCCATCGCCATCAGCGTCGCTGCCGTCATTCTCGTCGTCGTCGCCATCGGAGGTCGAGAGTGGTGGAGGAGCTCGCGGGGAGGAGAGCGTTCGCTCGCGTGAGTTCCCGGCGCAGGCGCCGCGCGGGTTTGTGCGGCTGGCGCTGTACGTGCACGCCAAGCCCGAGATCACTCTGGTGCTGCTGGCAGAGGATGCGCTGCGGAACGACGGCTCTGCCCAGGATGAACTGGTGGGTGTGCGCCACAACACACGGGGCCTCGGAATAAACGCTGCCCTGTGAGTAGAGTTCATCCCACACCTGTTGTGCGTGTGTGCGCTATGCCCAGTTCACTTCCAACCTCGCATCGCTCAACGGCCTGGATGTGCATCTGAAGGAGGTGTTCGCACAGACCCCATCAGACCAGCGCAAACACAGTTACAGTTTCCTCTGCTACGACCGCGTTCTCCGCTCGCTGCAAGGTATGTGTGCTCATGTGTGTTCATGTGTGTGCATGTGTCTGTGTGCACTTTGGGAAGCGGTGGTGTCGTGGTTAGCGCACTGCACCGTGGGCCCGATGACGTGGCTTCAATCCCCGGCCATGACGAACATCAGCGACGAGTGATATGCCAACCAGTCCGTCGTGGGCGTTCCCTAGGCCAATGCAACCATAAAACAAGTTCCTTGTGCAGTGTGTAAATATCATCACTGGGAAGATAAAGACAGCTGGGCGTAGTCCTGGCCACACCACCCCATTGTGCACCATCGTGCTGGCCTTCACAGTTGCTCACTAACAACACCTGCTGCTCCCCCTTCCCCCCCCTAACATTGTCTGTAGGCTATACAGAAGGTCTTTGGGTTCTATTTCTGGACGTGAGTAGAAATTAGCGTGTTGTTCAATCCTACACATCTGAGATAAACTCGACAATAACACGTTTTACCTGGTGTGGGTGGCCAATTGTGTGTGACACTCCTCACTGGCCTTACTTAACCAGGTGCTGCAGCAAGCCTGCAGCAAGCCTGCAGTGTTAAATGGTCAACCTGTCTTTATATGTTGTACATGTGTGTGGAGGAGTTCATGGAGAAGCCTTGTTCAGTCGTGGGCTCCGTTACTCTGTGATCCTAGCAAACCACGATTTGACTCCTCCCCGTGCAGTTTAATTCCAGTGAATGTGATTCTATCCCCAGATTAGTCGTGAGCGTCAACAGTAAACAAAACCCTCAGCATAGCCTTTTGACTTTCACCTTGAAAATGAAGCTGTTGCTATCATTGCTGTGGTAAAAACAATCGCGTGCACTGATGCCCATATTAAACAACAGGGCATCGATTACTCTATTCAAGATAAGTCCCAGGTTACAGCGTTAAAGAATACAGCACCAGTTACCTGTAATGTTTACGGGTAAAAAAAAAATTAAGTGCTCATTCCAATGATGTTATTTGTTAAATATTAAGGCTCCCATTGCCATCAATATACCCAGTGTCAGAGAATAGAGCGCGCTTATAAACCTGGCGCCCCTCTCAACCAACGACGTATCATTGATCGGTACAAATCAGCCTCGGTGACCCGGGTTCAATTGGTTGACTCGTACGCGGTGGGACGAACGGGTGCTTGCCAACGGCACTTGACTCCTGGAGAGTGGGCAGGGGTGCTGAGAGTGGGGTCGCAGCCTTTGTGTGCGTGTACCTTTGTCTTTGCTGCTCCCGCAACGGGCCTTATCGGTGTCATGGATAGTCAACTGGAACGAATGAGCGTTTTGGTACGACGGTTAGTGCATTGTGCTACGGATCTGGCGACGTGAGTTTGATTCCAGGTCATGGCGCGTGATATATGTATTGATCCTCGACTCCCCCCCCCCCCTCCCCCCCATCGTCTCCGCTTCACAAACTTACACTCGCCAGCATGGTGAGGTATGGTCAAACAACCCCCACGGGAGGCCTTGACCCAGCAGTGAATTGCCAAAGGGGCTGTGCAAAGACAGTCCAAACTGCGGAAGAGAATACAGTACAGGACGCTTGCGTTGCGTACAGTCTTCGCCAGGCATGGGGCGATCTTCCCTCGGAAGTTTTCTACGATAGTCACGAGAGAATGCCGCGATTGCGTGCGACTTACAGATGGACATTTTTTTTTGCGCCAATGGTGAGCCAAGAACTTTACAGGTTGGCTGATTAACGTTTTCTTGCCATGTCTCCATTGTCGGAAACGTTTTGCCGTGTTGTTTCCATGATGAAGCAGTGTTAACGGCTTCGAGCGGTTAGGGCGTTTGATTTGTGCTTTTGGCGCCCCTGCCAATGCTGTGCCTTGATTGGTTTTCGTTTCAAGTCATGGCCCAGGATCATGGCAAACGCATACACAGCCAAACATTTGTATTAGCCTAAAATGTTTTCGGAAAATGTTGGGCTCATGGATACTGTTTTAGTTATAAAATGGTGTAAGATGGAGATGTTGAATTGTTTTAATGTATTATTTGTAGCCTCCTTGTGTAAATCAACAGGAGGCAGCCTCTGTTGAAGAGCACTGCTTGGACTGGCTTGCCCGTCATGTGGTCTCTGGAGGTGCCCTCTGGCTTCTGACTGTGCATGGATGTGACTGGTCCCTGTGTTGTCTTCCCCGCTGCAGGTAGCAAGAGGGTTCTGGCACTGACAACGCCGGATATTCTCCGTGACAGCCACACGCACGGTCAGTGTGAATGAATGAGTGAATGATAGATCCAGGTGATGGCAAAAGAGACCAGATCAGGACCTACGTAAATTATAGATCTTGGTGACAGTAAAATAGACCAGATCAGGACCTGCAACATCGTAGGATAAACGAAATATGAAAACAAATAAGAATTATTTGTGAGAATAAAATACCAAGGTCTGAAATTCAACGCGTTAATTGTGCCAGCTCCTTCATGTGTACATGCACTTAAAATGACCATGGGTGACTCATCTGTTAACTGTTATTGTACAGGAAGGAAGTCTGTTCACATTACGTAGCTATCAACACAAGCTAATGGAAGCTTCTATTGCTTTAAAATGTTTTTATACAGACCCCTTTACAGGTAACAGCAGCTTAATTCCACCATCGGTATAGACCAGGGGTCGGCAACCTACGGCTCCGGAGCCGCATGCGGCTCTTTACGGGCTGCTTCTTGACGATATGTACAGAATGTACTCAGATGCATTGCGGCTCTTGAAATACTGAATTTTGTACCGAATTGGAAAGAAATGGCTCTTCTTCTTATTTTGGTTGCCGACCCCTGGTATAGAGTATGCTTTTATATACACACACACACACATTTTTAGTGTGCGTGTACATTTGTGTAAACACCTTGTCTGTGCAAAAACATGGAATTGCTGTATTTATTCACACATTCACTACACGTGGTGACTTGCAACGCAAATCATCAGTGTCGCCAATATTAATGTAGGGACTTTGTCTTTCTGTGTGCGTGTGCCCATATTTATACGCACGCATTGTCACGCGCACACACACTGCGAGTGTATAAATTACAATATTAAGATAACCAATTGCGGTTCAGAAAACACAATATATCCAACGCGCGCCTCCTTGAGAAGTAAAAAGTGCGATAAAAAATTGTAACAAAGAAAATAATTGAAAATACGAGCGGTCTGGAATGAAAGTGTTGGGTAATGAGCGCCATCCGAAATGAACGGTGTGTGTGCATTGGGGAGAGCGCCCGTGGTCCCCTTATCCGAGTTGTGGATGTGTTATCACAACCCATCAATGGGCTATTGAGCTCCTGTCACTGCGTTCAAGCCAGACTACTTTAATTACACTGTCGCCTTTGCTGGGCGGGAGAACTGTGAGCCGTGTCTGTGTCTGGCTCTTAGTGTCTGCCGTTCTGTCTGTGCACGTGACTTTTTGGACTACCTGCTGGTGAGCCGATTTGTGATTGCATCAGCTTGTGCACGGTCAGCGGTTTGATTCCCACCCTCAGTCGATATATATTTTAAAATAATATTTTTCCCAACGTTATGTGTGAGTGTTAGATAGATGCACATTTTTGTAGGCTGCAGAACATGCCGTTATGGTGGTCTTCGTTTGAAAAATGAATAAATAAAAAGTGCCCATGAATTAGTGTTTGTGTGTGCATACGTATGCACACAAACATTTACATACATACACATAACTTGTGTCTGTGTGTTTTGTGGGTGCACGTGTGCGTAGTGGCTAGCGCACTTCTTTACGAATCAGGCGGCCCGAGTTCGATTCCTGGCTATGGCTTAGTGGTGATTATCTGAACCGATTCTGGGCCTCCCCTAGGTAGATTCAGCCTCAAATGGGTATCTGGTATGATGTGTAAGCATTGGTACTGGGGAGACTAATGTGGCCAGGAATGGTTCTGGCCCCACTGACCCTTCGTTGACCGAGCCGGCCTTCATAGGTGCTTCTCCCTAACAGCACTTGCCCCAACAGCCTGCGTAGGCTGCACGTGTGTCTTTGTGTTGTGCGTGCACATGCATTGTGCAGAGCTGTGTGTGGGTGTTTGAATTAAATCCCAATAAAACAAGATTCCGAATAATCAACAATAGCTTCTCATTGTGCACACCATTGCAGTGCAGTATGCTACATTTTCACATGGAATTTAAACCGTACATCTTGCTGTCTTTGCGCATAATGCAAGACGTTAATATAGTTAAGACAATAGCTCTCACTTAACGGTGGATGTGTTATAAATGCCACCATTATGACAATGGAAGACCCATGTGCTTTTCCGTTAAAATATTAATGAACGTCATTACGCACAACAGTATTCCTTAATATCTTTATGCACAAGGTCAGGAGAAAATCCTCAAAGCTGAATATAAATAGTAACATTAAATTATACTTTATTATTCGCGTTGAGTTGGTAATATTTCAGCACCGAAATTACATCAGCGGTGCAAAAGAAACGGTAAAGCGTAGTGAAGTTGATTGAAATAATGCAAATTATTCTCAGCTTGCCCCAGATGTTATCATTCATCTTTAGGCCGCTACATCATAAATGCCTTATTTAATCTTCAAATATCGTTATAAGTCGTTTATGGATTTGAAGAGTGAGAGTTGGAATTCGTGAGGTTTCATTCAAGTTAATTTATTAGAAATAAATACATATTACCGTTGGACAAAACCCTATGTGGATAAATTCATGCAGAGGCCCCGATTATAATAAACAATGGCTGTCCATATCTCGACCAATGAGAAGGTGTCGGTGGAAGGTGTGGATTAGCATTCGTTGCAGTGGAATCATTGGCAGTGGTAGGAGCTTCCCGTTGTTGACTAATAGGATTTGTTAAACATGAAGCGTGCAGGAGCATTTGTTGAAGGTCTAATAAGGGTTGAATTGTCCTGTTGATAGGATGGCATTAAAATGTATTGTGCTTGGACAAGGTGACATTAAGATGCAAACACAGAAAGTGACCTGTAGCAAGTGACATGCACAATAACAACTTCGTTTGCCACTAAGTATTGGTGACGTCACTACGGCGCCTTGTCAGCTCAGGTGCATGCCGAGGCCACGTGAACTGTTGCTGGCTGGCAGGAAGTCATATGACAGAATCAAGTGTTATGGTTTTACTGACTGAGATGGCTGGCAGATTCACCACCTGTACTCCCCTCTGTGCTAGTGATCCCCCATATAGCCTTGAGCAGACTTGGGGCAAGTGCAGTTTGCAATCATTTATGAAGGCTGGCACAACACACAAAGAGGGTGGGTGACCAGCACCATGCCTGGTCATCTTTGCCTTCTGCGTGGCTATGTTTGCACACCGCACTATGTTCTCACTTGAGGCAGAGTCAACCTAGGGGAGGCCCAGGACCGGCTCCGATATTTGTCACTGGTGTTAGCAATGAGTGGGAACTCAAAGTCGGGACACTGGTTCTAGATTTGAAGCTTTCGTGACTGCAAAGATTCATATTTTTAGGTTTTTTTTTCGGTTAAGTCACGTAAGTAAAACATCAAAATAAAAATAAAATAAATAAATAAAATGCCTCCGAAACGTCGTGATTTTTATTTTATTTTTATTTTGATGTTTTACTTACGTGACTTAACCGAAAAAACCTAAGAATATCGGGACACTGGGTTTGTAGCGCAGCACACTGACCACTAAATTACTGCTCCCCACTGTGCCATACACATGTATACTGACACAAAGACAAAGACCACCCATCTCGCCTCCATAGACTGCTGAGGACAAGTGCTGTTAGCGAGCACAGGCACACCGACGCACATACAGGGACGCATCGGCACAAGATTCTCTAAAAAGGTGACATGTGCACCCCGAGAGACTGACGGTTATACACAGATGCACAAATTGACACACTACTGGGTGTATAATTAGAGGGTGCTATCTACCGGCCCACCAAAGTGACATGGGGGCATCAGTTTTAACAGCCACATTGTTGCGGAGAAGAAGTTGGTTGAATCGCCGTAGGATGCAGATAGGTCTAGTGCCTGCCCAGTCGTAACAATGCAAGAGCTTATTGAGTCGTGTTGATTTGGCGTGCTAATACTGCATCGATCTCCCTCGTTATCTCACTCCTCTTGAATGATGTTAAGGCATGATTAACATTTCAGGATTGCCTCCTTTGTTGAACTTTGACTGGCTCGTTGGCTGCAGTGCCGGGGGGGTAAGGCATGCACCTCTGCCATCCTCGCCTCGTCCCACTTTACAACAAGATTGACATATTTGCCGGGGAAGGGAAGGAATCCCTCTCCCTTATCTCCATCCCATGCATGATAGTAAACCGGATCAATGTCGTCAGCATTTATCAAGACAGGATGATTGATCCAGGAGAGTTGTGGGGTGGCTTCACTTTGTCTTTTAAACAGCCTTGCTTCTGTATTTGTCAATCCAACCAGAATAGGTGGAAAAATCCCACTCTCTGTGTGCTCTAAAGCATCCACACATCCGTTTAAACGTGATTTGGAGGCTGACAGTGGAAATCCCTGCGAACAAAAAGCAACTTTTTCACAAGACGACATTGAAACGCATTTGAAGGGCAGACTGAGCTTCGGGCCCATTTGTGACTCAAAATGAGTTAGATCGTAGCGATGATACCAGAACCATTGGAGCTGATGGAGATTGGTTACTGTGGTACTCGACGAGATTCTTAGAGTGGGCGTACCTGGGTTAAGATGTTGAATTCTACAGTCCGTATTGGAAAGCCAAGGCAAGATATGCTATTCTTATTACACTCGAATTCAAATCTTTAAATCCAGAACTTTAGAGACGTACACTTCAAACACTTGAAGCTCTTTCTGCACCTCGCTCATTATGAGCTGCAGGGAGATCAGAATTTAACACGCCTCAGTTTTGATTATTTCCAAAGGAGATGCAAGTTCCTCCTCTTATGTTCTCTAACTCAGGTCCCACGCTGCTGTGAATGTACATTTCAAGCTGTAAAATGGCTCCTGTTTCCTTTTTTTTACTTCCTGTTAAACTCAGAGAGTTGGAGGAATTGGCCCGTGCAACGGACAGGCTTGACGGCCTGTTGTAGTTTTTACACTGCCCTTTATCAACGTAACCTGGGACAATGTGGACACCAGCTTGTCAATAGTCACATGGGCATGGAATTCTGAAATCCATCCTAAAAAAGGTCTTGCTGCCTGCATGGTGGGCTACACTGCTATCCATGCCTCCGATTCCACTGACTGCTTTGACCTTGGGGAATCTTCTGTCAGGTCTTCC